ACAACAACCAAAAGCGCCCGCAAATGCTGCAGATCCTTGTTGTCACAATTATCGTAAATGATGTTGCTGTCGTGTTTCATTTGAAAAGAATACAAAAAGTTCAAAGAACTAAACGTATATCAGAAACCACGCTTATGAATATGCTTATTTGTAATTGACTTGAATGTTGTGTTGCAATAATTGGTTTACGTTTGTATTAGTTTGTAAAATCATGTTTAATAAGGTGTTCATGATATCTGAATTTGCTTTTGTAAGTGGAAATTATACTTTAAATAAAAAATAAGGAAATTTCTGTTTTTATGGCATTTATGTTTAAGTGATTGATATCTAAAATATTTTTAATAATTGATATAATTTTATAAATAATTGAAATTTAATTTCTTCATGTGTATTCTCAATTTTTGGAGCTCGAAAAACTAACACTGCATATTTAATGTAGAAATTCGCATAAGATGTCAAGAACATAGTTAATGTGGAATCAACATCGAATGTCACCCCTCATTATATTAATAATAAATATTTTTTATCACATATTATGATTTATAAGAAATAAAAAAATTTAATAAAATTAAGTTATTATGCTAAAAATAAACAAACACATAATATATATGCATGTGCACATTGCCCCAAGGTAAAAAAAATGAAAAAATAATATATAAAAAGGAAAAAAAAAACAATTAGAATCATCCCAGACTCGTATATTATTATAGTATGAGTTTTATAGAACAATTTAAATTTATTTTACAATGTACAAAATTAAAATGATATAATCTTAGTTTACGGTGTTTCATAATAGATTTAAACTATTATAGAAAGTTTATTCCTAATAATAAACCTTAATATGAGATATTTCAGAATAAATAATTTAAAAATAATTAATAATCAATTTCAAAATTTACACTCCAAAATAGTTAAAATATACTATTTCAAAACATTTATTTTTCTAAACCTAAAAGTTTTTTAGATATATTCTAGATAATATTTTAAGAAACTATATAACAAAATTAAAATTTATTTTGATCATTCTAGTATAAAAAATAATCACAAAGAAAATAAATTATGGAAGTAAAAACAATTGCTATCTTTTTTTCTAATTTATTTCCATTTTTAAATATTTGCAAAAATTTATTGAAGTTCTGAATCAACTCTTCTCAAAGAATTCAAATTCAGATTAATCAAATTTAATGATAATTAATTCAGTTATTAAGTTTTAATTTATATATTTAATGAATAAAAATTAAACTAATGGTGTAAATTTTTTCTATTATTATTTTTATGTGTGAATTTTTATAGTACAGTTATATTTTTATTTAGTTTATATATGATATTTAGGATTGTCAAAACAAGCAGTCTAGCTTGGGTTATATTTTAAAATGAGCCAAAAAAATTTGTCTAACTTGCATTTATGTTAGACTAATTGGTTAACGAATCACTTTTAGTTTAATTAAAATATATATATATATATATATATATATATATATATTAAAATATACCATTCATTTGTTTATTTAAAATTAATTTATAACCTATTCAGAAAAAATAAAATCAAATATATAAAATTATAAAGATGAGTTGTTACAATTATGTAGTCTCAAGGAGTTATAATTGTCCATATCTCAGAATTCAAATATATCCTACCAAAAATATTAAATAACACATCTTTTAGTTAAATATACATTATAAAACCTTTGTAATTGAAGTGTTTCTAGTAATGAATTTAAAATCATGATTCAAAACTTTATTTACCTCCTAAATTTCCTCTTACTCAACATAGCAAAATTGAAAATTATGCTTAGTAATACATCTAGGTCAAATTCATTATTTCAACAAGTTACCCTTATTATCAAATATAACTAATATCAAGATACTTTAGAAAGACACTATATTTAATTAAAAATATATCATCTTAAATTATTGGTTCAAATGTGATGATAACAACAAAGATGAAGATGATAGTTGGAAATACATTATATTTAAAAATATGTTATCTTAAATTATTAGTTCTTAAAAACAAATGTGACGACAATAACAAAAAGTAAGACGATGAGCAAAATAAATGAAGATTGTGACTAGAGATTAATATTCTTTCTAAATTATATATATATATATATATATATATATATATATATATATATATAATATTATCAAACTAGTTTATTATTATACTTATATTTTTTAATAAAAGAATATTATTTTTATTTTATTAGTAAAATAATTATTATTTTATAAGATGGATCAACCCATAAGGCTCCAAGTTAGTATGACCTAAGCCTATTTAGACATGACCTAAATAGATTGAATAAAAATTTATCTAGTTCTATTCAAGATATAAAACTTTTGGTTTAGTCTGACCTGTTTTTCATATTTTTCAATTTGTCTCGTCGAGCGAATCTTATTTTGACATCCTAGATACTTAGAATAAAATATGCTATCTTACCCTTTTTAATGATATATTAATGTGTGAATTTTAAAAAAAATCATGTATTTTTATCTTTTTAAATATAATTTTACATGTTTAAATTCAGATTGCATTGATTTCGATCCTGTAAAAGAATTGTTAAAATTGGCCCCGACAAAATCAATTTTGATTTTTTTTTCATATCTAATTTAACCCTACCAGTGAATTCTCTTAGAAAGCATTCAAAACAAACTTTTTTTGCTGTTTCCTGAAAAAAAAAATTGAAAATAGAAAATATATTAAAAACAATATGCACTGCAATAACCAAAGATGAAATAAGAAAATAAAAGTACAAGTAAATTCCTAATGTGATATTAAATTGCAAAACTGCAATCCGAACAGAAAAAACAAAATCTAAATTTTAGTAAGGTTTGATTGTAAATAAAAAAGGGGAAAGAGGTACAATGAAGGAGATAAATGTTAAGGTAAAATATAATTTTCATTCAATAATTATAACAAATATTTGTATTTAATACCATTAAAATATTTGGTTTGATTGGCATACGTTATTAATGATTTTATTAAATTTTTAATTATCATCCTTAATAATTATTATTAGAATTGTTAAAATAAACAACCCAACTATATTGACCTAATAAAAAATATTTGATAGTGTAACCTCATTTATATTTTAAAACAGACAAATTTTTTTAACCTAATAGGCCAATAGAATATTTTGACTTGATTAAATTTTTTCAATAAACAAATATTAACATATTTATACAAAATTAATTAATTAAAACAATATTTAAATAAAAATAAAAAATATATAATTTTAAAGTTTATTAATAAAATTAATTTTTATTTAAGATATAACGATTTAATATATAAATTATAAAAAAATGCATACAGTCAATTTTACAATAAAAATTAAAAATTTACTCTTTATTATCACAATTTATCTTTAAAAATTTATTAATTTAAAATAATAACTAATCTTTATTATCACAATTTATCTTTAAAAATTTATTAATTTAAAATAATAACTAATCTTTATCATTAGATATTAGAATAAGTTATTAGAGATTTATTGATCTTAGAATAAGTTATTAGAAATTTATTATGATATTTATTCTTTCAATAAATGAATCTTATCAAATTAATTTAAAATACATATATATTTTTTAATAAAATAATATAATTTTTATTTTTATTTAAAAATAATTATTATTATTATTATTATTTATAAAACAGATTGACTTATAAACCTACTTATCTATATAAATAAATTCATATAAGTCATCTCCTAAATAAATTGAATCTAATAAGTTTGGATTAGGAATCATCATTGATGCATTTGCGTCAAATACATTTAGGACCCCATGAAGATCAAACCATAAAGTTACCAACTTTAAGAAAATATCAATGTTCTCAACCCAAATGCATCAACGATGATAACAGACATCTTACCTATCCTACCCTACTTCTCAAATCTTTCAAACTAACCCATCCGTTTAAACCTATTTTAATACCCATATATGTGAATTTAAATACCATCCAACACTAGTGTCTAAGAAAAAAATAATCATCCATACATAACTCAAAATTCACCAAAAAGAAACTTCCTTAACTACTTTGATCATACACATCCGAAATATCATTATCTTTCATGAAATTAAACTTTCATGGTATTAAAATTATTCAAATCATTATACAAATCACTTAATATTTTAATTATATTAAATACAAATATTTATCATTTTTATTGTATAAGAAAACATATTTTACCCTACATTTTATAATTTTTAGTGTGATTTAGAAATTTCAGAAGAAATTAAAAAAAAAAATTTACACTATAACCTTACAAAGGTACAAAGATAATTATTCATTCTAAAATACATTATACTCAAACCAATTTCACACAGAAACTCAAGATGTTAATCTTCCATAGAACCTATATATTATTGCATCATCAAACCATATTCTTTTTCCTTCTTACAATATCATCATATCAAATAAGCTTATTTATGTGTTGTAAATGTATGTCCTTATTAAATTTCATATCCTCTGTATTACAATACCAAGTGTAGAGGTTGCATTTTCTGTACATTTTCCTGCATATTCCCTTCTGTAATTGAAGTTCTGTCCTCTGAATTTTCTTTATATTTCATTTAGTGAATCAGTTGCTTCAGAGCACTAACCACATTTCAAACCCAGATGGCACATACATCAGAGGATATTATGTTAGATATAAAAAACTATATACAAGTCTCTCACCTCACAGCTTAAACTTTTGGATTATTTGGTCAATGGAAACAAACACAGTTTCTATCTTATATATCACCATACTAGAGAGAAAACAAAGAAACCAGATTAAAATAATGATTAGAAAGAAGTAACTCAACTATATAGACACCATGATTGATGATCTTATACTGATGTTTCAATATCAATAACACACACTGAATCTAGATCCTCAAACTACATATACCACTAACATTTATTTCAGGACAACAAAGTAAGAGATATATAATTACAAAATAAAATATAGCACCTACCACAAATACTATACCCTATATATCTCACATACCTTTCAATAACTTTATTCTCGAGCTACAATAAGCTCCTCCATGTTATCAGTATCACCATTATCAGAAGGTACCAATATGTCATCATCAGTTGTGAAATTGTATTTAGACCCAATAGCTCGTAAAAACTGATACACTTCAAACATGGTTGGCCTCTCCTTTGGAGTTGGCAGAACACAGTTGCATGCAACCTTTAGAAATTGGAAAAGTTCACTATCAACATCCTTGCTGACTAGTGATTCATCAATGGCATCATGGAGTTTTGCATTGTTTGTGAGCTCTGTAATCCATTCTACTAGATTTCCTTTAAAAGATTCTTGAGCTTTAGTCACATTGGTAGGTCTTTGACCGGTCACCAACTCAAGAAGAACAGTCCCAAAGCTATAAACATCCCCCTTAGGTGTGGCAACCAAAGTTCTTGTGTACTCGGGAGCAACATAACCTAAATCACCAAATTCTCCATTTACAAAAGTACTCATATGAGTATCAATTGGGTTCATCAGTCTGGCAAGGCCAAAATCAGAAATTTTTGGCTCAAAATCTGCATCCAACAAAATGCACTTAGAGCTTATGTTTCGGTGGATAATACGGGGGTTGCAGCTATGATGAAGCCATGCTAACCCTTTGGCTGCTCCAATTGCAATTTTGAGCCTCGTAGTCCAGTTAAGGGTGCTCGCACCATCAGCAGGATGGAGTTGGTCATGGAGGTTGCCATTTGGCATGTCTTTATAGACCAAAAACCTCTCCTTTTTGGCCATGCAAAAACCTAAAAGAGGGACCAGGTTGCGATGTTTGACAGTCCCTAGTGTACCCATCTCGGACATGAATTCTTTTTCAGTGTACTGAGATTCATGTAATCTCTTAACCATAAGTGTTGTGCCATCACCAAGGACAGCTCTGTAAACAGTTCCCGTTCCTCCAGACGCAATGATATTGGTATTACTGAAGTTGTTAGTAGCCTTCATGAGATCAATCAATTTCATTTTTGAAATTGATTTCTCAAACATAGAAACCTGATATCCAATTCAGTACAGTTAGTCTTTCGCATATTCTCACAATAGTTCACTAGCATGTAAATCATATGAACTAAGCTTTGTAAATCTTACATAAATTTTCTTATTAAAGTATATTCTAAATCAACTTGCTTTTAATTTGACAGAGGATATGAATCAGTTATCTGTTTGAATTAGAAAAACAAAATATTTCTGTTTGACACTGCAATATGCAAAACATGTTATGCCAATTAATATACACAACATAGTTAAGGGAATATAATATTATTAAGAAAATATTTCACTTGAGACTTGAAAATTTTCACAAAAAAGGGAAAGTTTTTAACAAACTGGTTCCTATTCGAAACATTTAAAACAATTATTTAGTACTACAAAACACAAATGCATCAACAAGAAAAATGAATAGCTGTGTAATCATATATGTCCTGTGCAATGCAACAATATAGCTTGCCTTAATTTGTTTAGTTCCTTTCAGACTTCTTGCCCATTTGTTTCCTTCGGGGTCCTCTTCCTTTTTCTTGAAAGAAACATGTCGCACAAAGAAGAACATTCCAACAGCCAATCCTAATGCTGCAAGAGTCACCCCACCAGCGGCAGCTCCAGCAATAACAGCCATGTTACTCTTAGAAGACTTGGTTTGGCAAGTCCCCAATCCAGTGCCTCCACATAGGCCTTGATTATTTGCATAATTTACTGAAACTGAATGGCCAAAGGTTGGAACAGGCCCTGTCAAAAGATTGTCGGATACCGAAAAAGCCTTAATTCGGGGCAGAATACCAAGCTGTGGAGGAATTTGACCAGAGAGTCTGTTCTGATCAAGTCTAAGGGTATTGAGAAAGGTACAATTTGAAAGAGTCACAGGAACTGTCCCAGAAAAATCATTTGAAGAAAGGTCAAGAGAGGTCACAAATGGTACTAGCGTAGATATATCTCGCGGAATGGTTCCAGAGAATTTGTTAATTGAAAGGTCTAATCCAGTTAAGCTAGAGCAATTTTGAATGCCAGCAGGAAACTGGCCCTTGAGTCCCATATTGGACAGTTTGAGATTCAAGACCCTGTTCTCATCAGGGTGCCAACACTCAACCCCAATAAACTTGCAGATGAACCCTTCAGTTTTGTTGTTGAAATCCCAAGAAAACTTCAAATAGCTATATGGGTCTTCAAGGGTGTCTTTAATACTTCTCAAGCAGAAGATATCAGTATCAGTCCCATAGGTCATGCCACAACTAATCAACAACAAGACACTGACAACATGGTAACTGAAAATCCAGCTATGCAGAATCATCTTCACCAAGATCCTAAACAAAAACCAAGAGAGAGTAATCCAGACACCTCGCCAAGATGGCTATCCAATCCAAGCAGCCGCACAACATGCAAACCCCATAGCACTACAACCCTTCCATGAACACACCCTGCAAAACATTGAAAAGAAAATCAAAGAGCAGAAAACACAGATCAGCATCTCGCACAAACCAAGTCGCGTATCCAAAAGTAAACAAAATCAATAATAAGGACAAAACTTAGATACAGTTCTTTATGTGCTTTTGGTGTTGATTTTCAATCAAAATTCGAATTTAGCATAGTAATCGACATGATAAAAGGGTTGCACTAATGGTCAACATAGATTTTTTAAGGTAAACCTCCTATTCTGAAAAGCACCGTATCTAAGTTTCGTCCTAGAATAAGAAAGAAAGGGACATAAAAATATCCCTACTTCTCACCACAACTACAAGCCACTTAGATTGTTATCCAATCCATGCCACAGCACAACATATAAATTCATGGCACTACAACCCTCCCAAGAGCACATACTGAAAACCAATTGAAAAGTAAACAAAATAGCATAGTTCAGTACTGTATATAAACCAAGTCAACCATCCAAAGGTAAACAAAACCAATAGCAACAAGAAAAACACAAAAATTAGATACATGCTTTAACCAAAACTCACACTCCAGCAAAGCAAGAATAATTGACAGAGGAAGAAACCCAGTAAAGTTTATTCAACATATAAATAGGGAAAAAACCAAATTTTGCAGAAGTGCTCAAATACCCACCTGGGTTTTCTGACAACCCAATTCAGGAAACCCCATGAATCTTTCAGAAAACTCTACTCTGCCCCAGAAACCACTGACACTAAGTAAACAGCAGAAGATGAAGGGCAGCAAAATTTGCATATAATAGATAGCAAAGAAGTTACCTTTGAGAGGTTTTCAGAAGATAGTGAAATGTGAATGGGAGAGAGAAAAACAGAGTGGAACGGGTCAAAGAAGGGAAAGCAAACAATTTCCAAGCTAAAGAGAAGACTTGGACCATAGACTTGTGAAAAAGTGCTTCCTTCAGTTGCTGTAACTCTACATTGTGGAAAATTAAGGGTCTTATTATGATTGGACGAAAGAAAGAAAGAAAAAAAAAAAAAAAATATATATATATATATATATATATATATCAGACAATCAAATAAAGAAACAACAGTTTCTTTCATTCTTTAATATTTCAGTTTCATATATATATTTATATAGAAAAATATTACATATACAATCATATATAAAGGGTAAATTCTAACTGAATTTTTTCTTTTTATTAAGATACAGAAAAATATGTTTTTTCTAATAACAAAATTCTCTTGGTAATTCTTCTGACAGTGTTTTGAGAACACTGATTAATAAGATTCTTTATAAAATGAAATTAATGTAATAATATTTTTCATGTATTTCTTCCACATATATTTTTACATCTGATAATAATAAAAAAATTAAAAAAATGTTAAATTATTGAACGTTTATCTAGCAGTATGATCACTACATTTGACATTCATCAACATTTCTAATTCTTCATCATTTATATTACTTGTTATATTTATTATTATTTTTTTCTTTTTATCCCTTTTTAGGTACCTAGATGTCAAAAAGTACTTATCAAATATTTTCCTTGATGTTTTAAGGAATTTAAGCGGCAATCATATGGCAAATTTTTATATAATAAATTAGTGTAAGATTGATGGCAACTTTTGGTTTGAACATTGATGGGAACTGCTTACAGAAATTTTCATTTTATTTCTATCCATGGACAATCCTATGAGATTTTATTATTTTATCGTGTTTATTTATGAATATGATATGATAATACAAAATTTATTAAATGCATATATAGAGATAATTTATATGATGATATATAAATTAATCTCATAAAAATATTCAATAATATAAAGTATTTGTTATAAATATTTTTCACTATTAAAAAATTAAGAAAATGTTAATAAGTGTCTTAAGAAATATTGATTGGTCAATGAATCAAAATTTTTAAAAAATAAATTAATGTATCTTTATTATAATTTGGTAAAAAGAAAAATTGTGAGTGTATTAGAAAAAAAAATCTTCTGCTTGCAGTACTGTAAACAAATTTTTTATTAGTAAATATTAATTAGTTATTAAAATATTTTGGGATTATTTTTGTTATCAATTATATTTAAGGATAACATTAGTAGTGCAAGTTTGACAATCTTGTGACTTGGTTGATTTGTAACAATATCGATAAAAGTCAAATAAATGAAATTATATATTTATTTAATTATTAATTATTTTTAAAATTTAAAATGTATTGAGAATTATAAGTAACCTATGTAAATTAAGTGAATTAAATTCATTTTAACTCATATTCAATAAATAAATAAAAAATCAAATTCAGCCTAATTCAAAATATGATAAACTAGGTAACTCTGCATCAAAATTTGTATTGAGATATTTAGATAACATCAAATAATAAATGTAAAATTCATTTTAAAATGGAATAGATTTGAAGAAGTAATAAAAAAAAGATAACAAAAATAATTTAAACGAAGGAAAAGATAAAAAATAATAGAAAATATATTTTATTTTTAATAATTTTATCTCATAATATGAAATATTAATGGCTATAATGTTAAGTTTGTACAATTGTGAGAAGAGAGATAAGAGGAAGAAGGAAACGATAGAGAGAAAAAAATAGAAAAACAAGGAAGTAATGAACAAGTAAAAAAAATATAACATTAAAGATAATTAAATTTAAATTTTTAAACCTGAAACATTTATCATATGGATTGTAATAGAAATCGACTTCATAAATGATTACGTAAATTCTAACTACAATTAATATAATAAATATACTAGAATTTATGATCTACCATTATCAATTTGTCTCTGTTCTAATTTAAACTAACATAAAAAATTTACTTTATCACTTTATATGTAAAGTTTTATTACAATTAAAATAATATTACTATAACCGAGATAATAAATATTAAAATATTATAAAAAATTTGTAAAGCCATTTTTCATACGTATATAAGGATGTTGGAAATTATTTTGAGATACTTCAAGGAATTTAAAATTTATATTGATCCATCAATTATTTTGATCTTGAGCTAACTTGTGTTGCCATTGCTTTTAATTGGTTCAATGATTGATGCAACAATGACCTACTTTTATCTTTTGTTGTTTAGCAAAATCTCTTTAGGACTTTTTAGTTTTTAACAACAGTTTGGTGGTATCCAAGTCAACTTTTAGCATACGCGTTTAGATGTTTTAAAAAAAGTATAAAAGAATTCAACATGAAATTTAAAAGTTGCATACTTCAGCATGAAATGCTGAAACAAGATGGACATTTTCATTATGTAATTATTGATGTTTCTTTTGTCTTTATACTTCAACAAGATGATTTTATCAAAAGGTTAGTAGTTTCCACCTATTTAATTTTAGCAAAATATTCCTCAATTTTTTTAATGTATTTCCTTTCACTTTTACCCTCAAAATACATAGTTTTTGTCCTCTGTTAATTGCTATACTCATCAATTTTATATTAAAAATTAATATTAATAATAATTTATATATATCATTATTTTTTAATTTACTGACACGTCTTTTAAAGATAAAATTATAGGGATTAAAATTTTAAAATAACATTATATAAAATATAAAAATTAATCATAATAATGAAATCAAATCTCTCCTTCTTAAATAAAATATCACTTATTATATTTAAATATAAAATTATATTATTATTATTATATCTTTTAAATGTTGTTTTAAAATTTAATTATATTTATCCCTTATTACCTAAAAAAAGTAGGGACATCATGTATATTTGAATTCATCTCCTCTTTCCCTCATAACTAACAACTTAGCCTCTTCCATCCCTCCTAACTAACAAAGGGTAGTGCAGGAGGAATATTTATTTGTTGTCTGTCAATTACGCATTTCAGCCCAATCTTATACCTTGACTCACCCTTGAAAAATAACTTTGAATTTTGGAGACCTTGTATATTATAATAAGTTTAAATTATTATTTTTAAGTACAATTTATTTATCAATATATATATATATATATATATATATATATAATTAATATTATGAATATAATAATTTATACAACAAAATTATGCAATATGTTTGTTCATTAGAAAAAAAGTTATTATAAAATGTTTCACAATTATAAAAGAAAAATCACAAAAACAATAAAAATTAAATCAGAAATATTAATTTGATTTTATTTAAATTTTATATTAAAATAAAATCAAAACTAATGGAACTACATCTAAATCAAATATATTTGAATGATTATTTCATAAAAAAAAAATCGAATCAAATCACTTATTTTCTTTATTATTTTATATTAATTTCTTAACTTAAAAATTTCACCTTGTTCTGAAATTTATAGTTTATAAACTTTCAACTAATTTATAACTGGTTACGTTAAACGTGATCATATAGTATATTTCACGTGTAATTTAGATAATCTTAAATACGAAATCCATCTTCTAAGACTCTAATATATAAACATGATAGGTGTAGTTAGTAATTTGTTCACACAAATAGTAATTAAATGAGAAAAACATTAAAAGGGGTCAATTTTTTCTCCATATTTACTGAAATAGGTTATTTTTTAAAAAAATTATAAAAATAGATTAAGTCGATTCAAATTGAAAAAGTAGTATTACGTAAATAACATGATTTCAATTCAAATAAAAAAAATCGTATTTTCTAATATAATTTCAATATTTTTTTTAATTGGAATTATGTTACGATTATAATTATATATACTTTTAAATAATAATAATTTATATATAAAAGTTAAATATAAAATAAATATATGTATATAATATTTATTATATATATATATATATGAAATAAATATACTCTTATTACTCCATTTTTTTCCTAGTCTTTCCAATTCAAGATGCTTCTTCTATTCATCCATATGCAGGTCTGTTTGAAGAAGTTTTGCAGTAATCATTTGTATAAAAAAGTTACTTTTTGTTAAATTTTTTAAAATCTATGTTTTTAATTCATTTATAATCTAATTTTTGTGCCTTAAAGCGTTTATAGGAAAATGTTTCTTCTCAACATGTAAGGATTTATCTTGAATGACCCGTTTGAACACAACCCTTTGTTTGAATAATTTACCACAACATTGAAGTCAACTTTAAGATTAAGAATTAAATTTCTAAACTTTTTCAGATGTTTAAAACGATTGATATTTAACGTTGTAAACTTCAATCAACAAGTCGTTGTAGTATAGTGGTGAGTATTTCCGCCTGTCACGCGGACGACCGGGTTCGATCCCCGGCAACGGCGTTAAATTTATTTTATTTTTCTTTCGAACTTTATTGAAAGTCAGTATCGTCTTGGTTCGATCCTTGGTAACAGCAATAAAAACTTATTTGTTATAATAATAATTATTATTTAATAACAACTTGTTATTTATATTCATTATTCAAATTGAAAATCTTACATTTTCTTAACTGTTTAGTTTATAGTTTATAAAATTTCAGCATGTTTAACTCATTTTCCCATCTTATATCAACATGATAGATTATCATTTATTTATTATATTTCTTTTTATTTAAATTTCTATTCATTTTTTTGACAATATATTTCTTAAAAAAGAGATTATGTCATTCATGTTCAGCATAACATGAATCAAACATGGTATGTCTAAAATATCTAATCTTAAAAGTTTGTTAGACTTTTATTTTAAATAAATTGTTTTGTAAAACCTTTACTAAGTCAAGTCATATTTTTTTTCTTAGAAATATAACCTTGAAATTATGATCATTTTCTAAGAAATCAAAATGATTTTCATTTTTAAAATTTATTAAATAAGATCATTTAAATTCGATTCAAATATAAATAATATAAATATTAATATAACATAGGTTCCAGTACGCTCATAAATTTATAAAGTCTCAAATCGTTCGGGTGTTAAGGTCATGTTGAGAATTTAAGTATGAGTTTGAAGTCCCACACTAGGTAGAAATGAGAAAGTTGAGTAACTTATAG